ACACATATGCCATGTTCTATGTAGCTTTTTCAACTCAGATTTAAAAGTATTGAGTATTTAGCAATTTAAATTGTTCAGCATGGTAAAAATTGGTATTCATTAACAGCCCAACTTCTGGAAAAGCTTTGACTTCTCCAATATTTGTTCACTTCCAGGAAGCCGTCAGTATGTTAAAGGGGTGGTACATGTCAAGCCCCCTCTCTGTTTTCAATCCTTTTTTATTCAAAGGTGTGCAATTTTTCTGTACACTCAGTTCAGCCTGTATATTCTTCCATCGTCCTGTTTAAACCCTTCACCCCAGTTGCCCTGAAATAGTCTGGAAGTAGGTATTACACAAATAAACACTCTAGCCTTCTCTTCGAATAAATAGCTGAGAATATGATATTTCTGTATAATGTATACATGAAGATGTAGAGCAATCAGAACAGTATTCATTTGATATTTCTATCATGAACACCTCAGCTTTCGCCAATCTAGAGTGCTATTCCAAATATGGCTTGCCTGCACAAGCAAAAAACCAAACAACAACCCAAAAAGCAAACCCAGATTACCCCAAATGGAAGGCTGCCTGTCTTTATGATGCAGTTACATCCAGTGATTATCCTGGTTTTGTTTATTTGTGTGTTTAAACAGGTTGGTTTTGGTGTCGCTTTGGGCCAATTCAGAGGATACTTTGTCCTGCCAAATCTAGAGATACTCCTCAATTAGCAAGAAATTCCAGTTTTGGGGCATTCTGGACAGCTAGACTGGATCTGATTCAGCCCAATCACCATAGGGTAAAAGGATGGATCTTGTCCAAGTAATTCCCACTTCTACCTGGCTACATGCGAGTTCCTAGCCATTGGAAGTGGTTCTACTAACATCAGAACAGGTCATTTGCACGGCCAGCACAAAGAAGAGGGGCAAAAATGTGCTCACAACTCAGACATTTATCCACCTTCCAGTGTCACATGGGTGCCTCCGCTAATGCAAAACTGTGGCATCTGCATGACCAAGAAGAAGAAGTTGAGGCACCCTATTCTGATGTCAGTAAAAGTGCATACAGTGAAGAGGGGCTGCTACAGGGCTCTGTGAGAGCTCCAGATAGGAATGACAGTGATGATGACAAGGAGGAAGCGAGATATGTACAGTCCCACCAGAGCAATTGCACTTCCTGGTTGTGTGAACAATAGCTCAGAAAACATTTACACTGGGTTAAACTGCCTGATGTAGTAAGCCCATAATCATTTGGGTTCACTACCTGAACTGCTTCCTGGAAATGAGCAAATATTGAAAAAGTCAAAGCTTTTCCAGAAGTTGGTTAAAATCTTGTTTGCTTGCTTGCTTAACAAAAAAAAATATTAGCAGACTTTCTTCAAAATTCAGTTGTCTTCCTCACATGCACACAAAAATTGATAATTTCAGAACTGGGAAATTTTATTTTTGGGACTATTAACTCTCCTAGAATCCATAGCCACCAGCTATGGGATTATGCAGGCTACCATTGGATTATTATGGAAGTTGTAGTATAAAAAAGCCCACCCTCTCTGGTATTCTGTAGAAACATTTGTCACCCTTCATAGCCTGAATGTTTCAGCTATGAGGCTGTGCATTTCCAAAGGCCCTGTTCTTTTTTTAATAATTTTAATAGTTTGCCTTTTACCTCTTTTTCTTCTGATTACACCTGTATGTATGTTTACTTCAAAACCACATCAAATCCACAGACATTCTTGCAGGCTGACTGTTTCTACTGCTCAGAAATCCCCCAGTTTTTTGGCCGAGTACCCTGCATTCATGTGACTCCTGCACACTGCAGCTCAATGAAATCTTCTGAAACAGCTGCCAGCTCACCAAATTTTCCATGAATTAGGTCCTGACACTTCAATGAGAGGAAAGACAATGTCTGAAACGAAGCCAACCCTGGCTGGCTGCCTAGTATGTGTCACAGTAATTCTACCAGCTGCCCTTCTACACAGCACTTCATACTTTACAGACCACCAAGCAGAGATCCCTGAATAATTCAGTGCTGTTTGGGCTTGGGGCTGACAGTATGTTTTCTCAGTCTCTGGCACCCAGTGGCTCCAGACTGGACCCAGAAACCTTTTTTGTGAGTTTGTTTTTAGCATGTTTTTATTTTTATGAATGGCTGAACGAGAGGAGTCTGACTGAACCAAGGGCACAATACTACAGCCATTCATGAAAAAAGCAAAAAGAAAACATTGTGCTTTGACTGATTGGATACAGACCAAGGTTTCTATGAATCTTACTCATTCAGGACTTTTGCTGATAGCAGTTTCACCAGCTAGATTACGGTTTACAGCTTTAAAAGTGTCAACTGGTGATCTTAAATAAAGATTGGCTGTGTTTTTACAAATCGCTTACATTTTCTTCTTTCTTCTTTTTCTCAGTCTCTCTCAGTCTCTTTTCAGAATTTGGAAATGCTTTTTTTAACCACAGCCCCAGGACTTTCCCTGTCATCACCACCAGTGTACATGCCGGCTGTGGGATTCTGGGAATTGTAGTCCAAAAAAGCAACTTTCTAAAGCTCTGGAATTTCCCACAACACTTAAATTGCAGCCTGAAGAGAGTGAGGCTGCAGAAAGCTCGCATATTTTCATCTTTCCATCAACAGATAATGCTATTTAAGTTTTTAAGTAGGGAAGAGCTCCTTTAGCTTTTGACATATAATAATATAGAACCTTGCACATGATATAAATCATGGTATGGTTTTGAGGTGGGAGAAGAATTGTGTGGGATTTCCTTGGTAGAGAGTCCTATGGATGAATAGGTGCTCTGTTTGAATAAGAACTTTCCTTTGGCTCGGCTGGAATTTATTCTGAAATTTTGGAGTGTCTCCTTCTCTGATGCCAGTAAAGGCTTGCTCCACGTGTTTATTGCCATACACTAATTCAGTGTTCTTTAAATTTTCAACTAAGAACCTATTCAAATATTACAAACCCCAGATAAAGAAAGCCAACACTACCCAACACACACACACACACAACCCCACCACATTTGCATACTGCATTACACAGCATTACACACATGGACCATAATACTGGAAAGGCTACATGCATATTCTGTCTGCTTAGCCTAATAGCAAGTCTTCTTGCCATACTAGGCTCCATGAGTGGTGATGGAATTGACATATTCTTGTTATTTGAAACAACAGACACACACATACACATCTAATGTGTTTTGAATTCCTGTCCAATTGACTGTAATCTAAGACATTTGAGCAAGAATTCATGAGTAGATTTTCTTTCCACATAGGAGCTGCACACTGTTATTATCAGGTCTAGATTTAAAGCTACTGACAACGTGAAGCTATGTTAGGAATTCTCAATTATTTCACTGTAGCTAAAAACGATTAACCTCCCCCTGTCCAGTAAACATGTATTTGATTTTGAGCCAGTTTGCAAAATTTGAAATACTTCAGCCTAGTCCAGAGCTTTTCCAGCTTATGTCGTAGAGAAATTTGAAGATCAGTACAAAGTGTATAGGAGGGTTGTGTGGTTTCCAGGCTGTATGGCCGTGTTCTAGCAGCATTTTTTCCTGACTTTTGCATGCATCTGTGGCTGGCATCTTCAGAGGTGTATATTTTCTGCATCAGGAGATTCTATGGTAATGAAGTACAAGTAAACCATTTCACTGTCTCCCAGGGTTGTGTAGCTTGGTAAGCAACACAGTTGATCTCCAGAGTTCACACTACTATTCAGTGTTTGCACAATATCGTAATCCAGAATTACTTGATTTATTCTTCATTCCCAGGGAGGAATTACAAGGAGCAAAATTTAACAGGTCATAAAGAGTCAAAACTAGCAAAATTAGGGTGCTATGAAATAATTTGCTTTAAAAGAGATATTGAAAGTAATGAATGAAGTCAGTTGGCAAGGAAGAGAGAATAATTAAGGAGCAAGGGGTAGCACTCTGCCTAAATAAGGGACATTTCTTTTTTGAACATGTGAAGTAATAGATAAGAAAAGAACGTTCTCAACTTCTTTCACAGCTGTGTAGGTACAGCTGCCACATCCCACAAATTTGCAGACAGAATAAGGGAGAAGTTGCAAGTAGCCTTGGGTACTAGAATACTTATTTTTATCTTTTAAAAAACAATATTTCAGATGGCATGTAGGTATGGATCATGGTCAAAGCAGGGTGGTGGCAGGTTTGCCTAACTTGTGACGCAACGAGCTAAACATAGTTCTGTTGCATCCACCATTCGTCACCCAAGACATATATTTGTAACTTCTTGGATGTTCTATAGCTACACAGTGTGTAAACATAGCCAGTTAATACAAACATCTTATTGAGTCCTTGTTGAGATACCATATATGGCTAGTCAACTGCATTTGCTTTAGTGAGTCCTGAGTTGTGATACATTTTAGCAATGCTGAGACCAGTCTCAGACTGTGCATGTTATCATTTGAATTATAAGGGCAGAATAATGGCATCTGAAATGTGTTGGTAACATGTCTAGAAACTGGAGTTCTAGGTGCTTCCAAAAAATAGTTATGCAGTCCAATTTCCGTGGCCTGTGGTGGCATTTGTATAAGTTGACCTGTTTCTAAACTCCCTGTGTAGTGACTGAACCTCCTCAGTTCAGTGACCTTTGAGTTTATTGTGTTAAGCCATCCTCATATGTACCAAATGAACTGAATTCAGAGCCTTATTCAAAAATCATAATATGGTACTATCTACACCTAACATTCAAATACAAGTTTATAGGACTGGGAGGAGGGAGAATAATGTTGTACACAAATAAAAACATCTTATTAGCTTGATCCCTATGCCACCACAGAGTTCTTAAGGATTCTGTACAGTATTGCTAAACTGTTACTAGGATTCTGTAAACAGCAGTGGAGCCCTCTTGTGAATCTACTGGGCAAATGTTTCAAAGTGGCATTTCTCTGATACATTATTCTCATGATTTTTTTTCCATACATTATTTTATTTGTATCAGAAAGTACAGCAATTTATTTTCAGATGAATTATCTAAATTACTCTTTTCTTTCTTTTAGCCACAGCAGGTGGTCCAGAAGAAACCAACTCAGGTAAGAAATCTATTTGGTGTGTGTATGAACATTTGTTTACTTCTGCATATAGTTAATGCTAATCTATCAGTAAGATTGATATGTAATGAACTGAAAATTTGAATTACAGGCAAATAATAATAAAAATAATTTTATTTCTAGCAAAGTCTGACTTCTATAATGGTAAATATATTTTGTGGTTTACATCCCACTCCAGCAAGCCGATGAAATCCCCTTACGGCTCAAGGCAGGGCACAACATGCATCATAATACTAAAATACTTTCCATTAAAAGCACATATTAAAACATCGTTCTATAAAATACACATTAAAATACATGGAACAAAAATTAAAACACAGTAAACATGGAATGTGAATTTAAAATGTAGCAGCTTTCTGGTAGAGATAGGTTTTTAGTTGTCTTTTAAATTCTGTCATTTAGCTGTCAGATCTCTTTTAGCACATCTTCCAGCAGGCCATAGCTCCTATATATACGTGATGCTCACTGAGACAGTTTCCACAGCTCCATAGCTACTAGTCTAGTATATTTCTTCTCAGATTTAATCAATTTTGAATGTAGCCATTTTGTCTCTATTTCACCACATTCCTGTCGTTTGGCTTAATTACACCTGCACATGATGAAGAAGAAAGAAAGCCAACTCCAGGCAGCTTAGGAGATAATTTTGGCTGCCATCTCCCTGCTACTACTATGCTCGACACTCTATTTGCTTTTTGGCAAGCTACCTTCTTACTGAATGACTTTGAATGGGAGCTGTTTTCTTGAATAATTGTTCTGTGTAGATTAGCAAACTCATCCATTGACTGAAGACAGTACTGTAGACTCTATGCACATTAATACTGATTTAGTGTGACATCTGGTAATTGAAGATAATACAGCCAGATTTAAATTGACCATAATTAATTAATTTGACTAAAATTAATGGAATTGTCTAGGATTCCATACTACCTTTTTAGTGTCTAAATTTCACCATTTTGACCTCTAATCCATTTTGGAAAAGCATGGACAAGTGAGTGACAATTTTGCAGTGGAGATAAGTTTGAATGAAAACTTTGAAAAAATGTGACTAGAATTTACTTATTTATTTATCATGTCAGGAGCTAACCAAAACAGTTGTATTGCATTAAAAACAAACAAACAAACAAAACACAAAGTTTGCAGACTTGATATTCTATTAAATGTCCTTTGACCAGCAGTTGGCCACTTGGAGTGCCTCTGGTGTTGCAATAAAGTCCTCCATTGTGCATGTGGCAGGACTCAGGTTGCATTGCAGTAAGTGGTCTGTGGTTTGCTCTACTCCACACTCGCATGTCGTGGATTTCACTTTGTAGCCCCATTTCTTAAGGTTGACTCTGCATCTCATGGTGCCAGAGCACAGTCTGTTCAGCACCTTCCAAGTCGCCCAGTTTTCTGTGCGTGCAGGAGGGAGTCTCTCATTTGGTATCAGCCATTGATTGAGGTTCTCCCTGGCAGATGTCAGGTGGTGCAATACCGGCTAAACAGTGTAATTTCTCCAGTGGTGTAGGACGCAGACACCCCATGATAATGCGGCATGTTTCATTAAGAGCCATAGCCACTGTTTTAGCGTGGATTTTAAAATGGTCTTCAAAAACAATAACAAAAAGTGTGACTGAAATGAAAGCCATTCAAACGTATCTCCATTGCAGAATTGTCACCCTCTTGTTTTAAAAGTTACCAAAGTCTGCCAAGCTCTAATAAATGCTCTCCCTCAAAATGTTGAGAGTCCTGATACAGTTCATTTGCTATTACTTAGCCTTACTACTCCCTTTTGTTTTGTACTACCAAAATGGTCTTTAAAGGTAAATAGTTCATGCTGAAAATTAACAAGAACATGAGCTCATTCAGGCTTCCTAATCAGAGCTGTCTGAGGAAACAGTGATAAAATATAAACATAGGGACTATATGGAAGTTCATGGAGGATAATGTAAATCTTATACTACATTGAGAGGAATCACTTCCTTTTCCATCTGTTTCCTTCAAAATATCCTCACAGATGGTTTTTCCATAAAGGTTTATGGATTGAATTAGAAATATATCCAGCAGTCAGGCGTTGAGATGCCATACACAAGCCTTGTCGTACCAGAGTGTTTGTTGCAATTTGGATCAACAACCTTGGTTCCTCTAAACTCTAGACAGGAAGTGCAGAAAGGCATAAGGCAGACAGCCAGCAATCCTGGAACACAGAGATTTGAAAGCAAAAAGCAAGTCAACTGTTCTGTCTTTGGGGCAGAAAACCTTCAATATATCCTGCAATGTCCACTGCTTACAATTTATTGATATTAGCAACTAGATGTGTTGTATTTTGCAATAAAATAAGAATTTCTAACTCGCCATTTACATATATGTAAAATTTATCATGTGGATGTTTGTATTGCCTTCAGTGAACCCTAAAGAAAGTCATGTGTGTGGAATCAATCAATACGGCAAAATATACACCAGATAACACAAACTGTTCTTGGGAGATGGGAGATCAGATTTATTCTGATTTATTGATTTGTAATATAGATGCCATTGAAAAATTTATTCTGTTTTGTTAGGCATGTCTTAGTTCTTAAATATTCCAGTGGCAGCTGCTTTCTCACCCACAAAGTAAGTATTCATAACATCATAACTAGTGGCCCCAACTATATATCTAGAATATATGGAGGAAGTAACCATCAGCTGAAATGTTTTGAAGCATCCAGAGCAAAATCAAATAAGTTGTGCACAATTCCAAAAAAAAGGACAGGGGTTAGGGATAGCAGAAATACTAAGTGCCAGTAGGATGAATGAAGTCTAGAGGAAGTTGTAGGATAAAAGGAATAAGAAGGGAGATTAAGAAGGAGAGTAAAATTAGATGTAGGAAAAAAATGAACAGACAAATTTGGAAGTGCAAAGTCTTATGTCTCAAAGTAAGAAATAACAGAAAATACATTACCTTGAAAAACAATGAGTCAAACTCAGCATGTAACTTTTTTTAAAAATGGCCCAAGTCCTGAAAAGAAACCCAGGTTGAGCACTCTACGTGGGGTTGCCTTTAAAGACTGTTCAGAAGCTTCAAATGGTCCAACAGGCGGCAGCCAGACTATCACTGGAGCAGTGTACAAAGAGAGGATATCCCTCCTATTGCGTCAGCTCCACTGGCTGTCAATGTGCTCCCGAGCACAACTCCAAGTGCTGGATTTAGCCTATAAAGCCCTAAATGGTTCCAACCCAGCTTACGTGTATGAACATGTCTCCCTCTATGTTCAGCCTTGGAGGCTAAGATCATCAGGTGAGGCCCTGTTCTCGGTCCCACCCCCCTCGCAGGCGCGGCTGGTGGGGACGAGAGACAGGGCCTTCTCAGAGGTAGCTCCTCGTCAGAGGAACTTACTCCCCAATTAGATCAGTCCCCTCCCTCCTGGCCTTAAAAAAAACCCTAAAAACTTGGCTCCCATTATTGCTTTTGTCAAAAATGGGAGTGAGGCAATAAGAGATTGTAAATTAACTGTAATGACGACCCAGACTGTCCTTGGAATATGACCTAGACTGTGTGATTTTAATTGATGTTTTAATCTTATGTTTTATGGTTTTATTTTGTTTATTCATTGATGTATGGGGCATTGAATTGTTGCCTTTGTAAGGCCGCCTTTCTCAAGGTTGAGAAAGGCAGGATACAAGTATGGTAAATAAATAAATAAATCTCTACGAAGCTGTGAGGCTACATTAAGAGGAAAAAATGATAAGAGGAAACTTAAACATCAAGGGGAATAACTTGTTCAGGAGTCAGAGCAGTAAGATACTGAGGTATGCCACTTGTTATCTGAATAGAAAATATGCAAAACACATTGTATTGCTGAGGGCACATCTTGTATATGGGGCACAAACAATACTCAAGGTTGGGAGTTTGTTTCTCTGGATGCACTTATTTTCAAGCACATTTTGATTAGCTTAATGGGCTTTTAAATCAAACTCTTATCCTTTTTGTTATCTTAAACTGCCAAGTTTCTTCTGAAAATATGGAAAATATAGCAGAGTCCCGTCCTTTTTTTTTAACAAAGTTTGACAAATGTCATTATCTTCTAGCTTTTAGACATATTGTAGGGCAAACCCATTCACTAAATCTTCCTTTAGGGACAGATGCTTTCTAGCTTAAGTCCATGAAGACACTATGTAAAATTTACAGTTGCAGAGTCCCAAGAACTTCCTATCTTGCAGCTGGAGAATACAATGGCAGGTTCCAGTGGGAAGTGATATTCTCTCGCTATATTAAGACAAACTCTTAAATCATGAGATATGTGTATGTCCATGTGATGGCTGTGGAAATAATTTATAATATCAGGGCAGACTCCTGCTGTGGTTGGAAAATGATATCGGCTCAACTTGCAAGCCACCAGTAAGTTTAAAATGGTCTTTAACAACAATAACAAAAAAAAAAGATATATGTGCAGATACCCAAATGAAAATTCCATGTGCCCATCCTACACTGATGCTCTTTCAGCTGCTGAAAAAGGAATTGATCTTTTTAGTAAAATCAGTTGTACTTTTTGTACTTAAGATACAAAATCAAGTTTAGAGAAAAATAATCTAGTTTCTTAATAGCTGTATCCTTAGCCATAATACCATATGGGTAAATTAGATTGTAAAATAATATAAAGGAAATGGTCATTATAGAAAAAAATAATTAAAAACCTCAAACACATTTTTAAAAGATATTGTTTTGAACACTTCTGAAACATAAAAATAACAAGCAAGCCACCAGTAATTTTTATAAATAACTCTCAAATATCATGTGCAAAACATTTGCTGCAAACAGAGATTATTGGGATATCTAGTGGTGATACACCAAAGTAATCTCTTGCTTCTAAATCTCATTGGCTGAAAATCTATATTGCATTGGAAGAGTATAAGGCTCAGCCTACACATGGCTTTCTCTTCTGCCTCTTGTAGAACAAAACAGTCCTGCAGCCAGGAGACAAGAACTATACAGTGAAGGAGTCAGGAGGACAATATCTTTCTTTCTT